CTGCTTCTCCCTTTCCCACTCCCCCTGCTTGTGTTCCCTCTCTCGCTGTTTCTCTCTCTCTGTCAAATAAATAAATAAAATCTTAAAAAAAAAAAAAATATGCCAGTGTTCAGCCTAAGTTAGAACCAGCTGCATTTGTTAGGGTCCTGTTTTTAATTATATTGTGATGAATTAATCCATTTTGTTAGGTTAATTCAAAAGATTATGGAAAGGCCACCATTCAAATGCGTTCTACGTGTAATGAACAGTATTTGATTGCTTTAGTTAATAATTGCATTTATGACATGAGAACTTCATAAATGTAATCACATAACAGAAGCATCACATAAAGATAATTATTAGTCAGATTAAGAGGACAGAGCTATAAAGTCAAAAAGGAATTAGGTGTAGATTTAAATATTACACCTTAAACAGATTCTTTGTGATCTTAAAACTCAACTTTCATTTTAAAGACACTTATTAGAAGGTGAGTTGACAAACATAAAACACATCCAAAAATTCAACTGTATAATTTTTAATACGTATTAGGAATAAAACTGGATTACTCCCTCAAATGTTCCCAGAGATTTTCCAAATCATATTAATTCTAACTCCCATTAATTCTGTATTGATAAAAAGTTAAAAACAGTTCAAAGGGAATTTCATCACTTCTGGCAGACATATCAATTTTCCTATGATCAAAATCATAAGAATCTCTTTTCAAGTGCAGATATGTGTCAAATTGGAGTAATTGTGTAAAAACTCCTTACCACACACACATATTTTCCTTAAGTCATTTTAAGCCAATAAATTTCTAATACACAGGTTAGAAAATAGTATCAATCTTTCCTAACAAAATAAAAATGCAAGCAAACCACACATAGTAGCAAATTTTAAGGCAAAAAGAGAGTATTCTTCTTTTTTAAAGAGTATTGTTTTCTTTTTTTAACCTATAACAGGAGAAATATAGCTAAATATTCCCATGACAAGATATAACTTTACCTGCGCCATCTGTTGAATGACTGAGTTAAAGTCTTCATTTCTTGACTTAGGAGTCCAAGGAAATAACCCAGAGACAGTCAAATTATTAGAGGGTCTTTGGGCATTCCCGTTAGTAATGGCACCATCTGTAAACACTAATAGACCTTTCCTAGAAAAATCAAAGTTGGCCAAACAATCTGAGGGTATATGGCTGAGCTGTTGGGGAGAAAAACAAGAGAATCATCAACAGAAACCTATAGAAAATAAATTATTTCTATTTATTAAGTATTCTATTTTGCCCATTACATGTATAATTTGCCTATTAAATATTTGCACATGAAAAAATAAGACACAGATACATGAATCTGTGTTTGCAAGGCTACAATTTTTTTATTTAGTATTACACAGAATATTTAATAGGTTAAAATGTGTTGCTTCCTGGGGCACCGGGGTGGCTCAGCTGGTTAAGCGTCTGACTCTTGGTTTCGGCTTGGGTCAAGATCTCAGGGCCTCTGCTTGAGATTCTCTCCCTCTCCTTTCCTTCTCCCTCTGACCTCTCCCAGCTCATGTGCTCTCTCTAAAATAAATAAATCTTTAAAAAAAATATATGTTGCTTCTTGCCTTGTACCATTACCTCAAGTTAACAGCATGTACAACAGTTCATTACACTTCACATACACAGATACATCCAGTCAGATAAACATGTAGACACTGAGCCCTTTTGCATTTCCATGTAAAAGGCCACAAAAGATCCGCAGGTAAGTTAAACAAAAATAACAATAACAGTATTTACTGAATGACTGCTATGAGCAAAGTACTATACCAAACTCTTACTTGTTATCTCATTTAATCCTTATAACAGCCCTAAGAGATATTATTATTCCATTTTGCGAACATGAAAACTAAGACACACAGGTTAACTTGCCCAAGATTAGTGGCAAATGAGTCACAGAGCCACTTAAACATTATAGGGAAAAAAAAAAAAAAAAAGGAGGGAGAGAATTCTGTAATTACGGTGAATAGGAAAATAGAGGTTAAGTTTTAAAATATCATTGGCTGATAGAAATGCCACCAGTGGAATGAAGGTAACATCAAGAACAAATGTCGGGGAGGCGGGGAGCCTGGGTGGCTCAGTTGGTGAAGCGTCTGCCTTCAGCTCTGGTCCTGATCCCAAGGTCCTGGGACTGAGCCCCATGTGGGACTCCCTGCTCAGCTGGGAGTCTGTTCCTCCCTCTCCCTCTGACCCTCCCCCTGCTTGTGCTCTCCCTCTCACTTACTCTCTAGTGAATAATTAAAAAAAAAAAAAAAAAAAAGTCAAAAGGACCTCATTAAAAAAAAAAAAAAACAATACCCATCAAAACTCTGTGAAACACTCAAAAAAAAAATCAGATTTTACAGTTGAATGGATAAAAATATGATTATGCATATAACAACTGCAAACTACATAAATATAAAAGATTGTTATTATGATGCAGTGGTTGGTCAAGTCCACTCTTAGTCCAGTAAGAGTAAGAGATTTGTGGTGACCTTTCCCAATTTCTGTTGCTACCAATAGAATTCACTGTTGCACTACAGGACTCATCGCATGACCAGGGAATATAGAAAGCAGACCATCAATATGGGAAGTGATAAAATTATGGTATAATTCTGATCTAGAGAAAGAAATTCACAAAAAGGCATACGTGCAGAGTTTAATCCTTAGTTATAGAAAAATCACTTGCTAAATATTTATGGGCAGCCATTTTGATTTATCAGCAAAACCATTGTTTTCCCAGATTTTATTAATTTTCTCTTAACAATTGTTACATTATCTCCAATTACATTTAAAATTCTGCCCAAAAGTAACCCATAGGATAGCTACTATTCAAGCCCAGCTTCTAGAATAGATGATTTAAAAGCAGTTTGCCATCCCTGACCCCAAAACACAGCAACCAAGAGGACAACTAAAATTATTAATTTACATCACTCTAAGAAGAAGTGCTATTTTGCCAATAGTTGAACACAATATGCATGTAGAAACCGCAAGAGTCTGGGTATTATGCTATATGTAGTAGAGGAAAGACAGGTAAATATTAAAACACCGGTTATAATGCTCCCGAAAACTTTCTGACCAGAATATCCATGACAGTTAATACTTATTTGGTAATTATTTGATAAATAATTGATATTTGAGAGGTGTAAATGATATGCTACAAGGGTATGATCCCTTCTTGCTAGGGAAAAAAAAGACTTCAGAAAGAAAATATATTTAGACTAAACACTATTTTATATTTTGAAGAAAATGTTGGGAAGTGTGAAAGCATCGGACCTTTACATATTTAAATAAGTACAACTTATATTCCAAAACCAAACACAAAATTTATCATAAACATTTTAAGTAGGCCTTACGCCCAACCTGGGGCTTGAACTCAAGACCCCAACATAAACAGTCACATGCTCTACAGAGTGAGCCAGCCAGGCAACCCCCACAAACATTTTTAAACTATCCATGCCAATGCTACCTACAGGTCACAAGTCCCAGGACAGTCTCTTGCTGAATTAAGCATACTTAGAGACAGTTTGTCTGTGTCTATCTCCTTCTATGTTTCTTTGCTGGTTTGAACATACCAACATGTAAAAAAAACCCTGATGAGTAACTTACTTGCCCTTTCAGTTGCTTGATGGACTGCTGAAGTGTGAGTATCTGATTGAAGAGGGGGCTCTTTAGTGTCTCATAAAACAGAGAGAGCTTCTCATTCTGCGATGTGTCCCCCTTCTCCTGCAGTTTCATTTTTAGGCGATCAAGAACTTGTAGGACCTGCAGTTTATCTTGTTTGAAGAAGGATAATCAGAGCACAAGTTAATTCCATCATACATTCCATTGTGATTCATTAATTAATTTATTGACAGAAGTATATAACTAGTATACCTGGACCAGGATTTTCAGGCATTTTGAATGACTGTCTTCAATTCCTTTTAAAGAAACCTAAAGAAAAATTTTAAAACACAAAAGATGATTTTCCGTTAGTATATACTTGTCTATAGTTCTGTAAAAAAATTATAGAAAGGGGGGGTGAGAGGATGGGTTAACCTGGTGATGGGTATTGAGGAGGGCACGTTCTGCATGGAGCAC